TAAAGATCCTTTTCCTGCCTTATGTCTTAAGTTGGGTCTGTTACTTCCTTAGAAACTGGAGGCTGTGGCGTACTTTGGGAACAGTAGAGAGATCTTAGCAGTGCCCTTCGGTCAGAGCTTAGTCCATATCCCAAGGAAGAGGCGTGGCTGTGCTTCAGCCTTGTAGGCAGCAGCTTGGGGACCAAGCCACAACTGCTCCGTATCCACCTATTCCTGCTACTGTGCTGAAATCCAGGTGTGAAGCAGAGACACTGTGATCCCTGCTCCAAACACTGACTTTGAGAAGCTGCAGGGGCGGTTGGATGTGGGAGGGTTAAGAGTGATGAGCTGGAGGGGGGCTTTGCTCTAGAACAAAAGCATTTGCTGGTTTGCCCGCTTCCCCACACGGGGTTTGCACCACGTAAGCTGTTCTATTTCGTGAGATGTAGTGAGCAAGGGGAGCAGTTACCTCATCTACCAGAGAGACCATAGGTGGTGGAAGCAAGCTTGTCCTGAGTGAAGGGAGGTAGAAGTTGGTTGTCGTGGCATTTCCATTCATCTGGGCACCTCACTGTACCTTGCCCAGATACATCTCATGGCTACCATGTGTGCTTCCACATGCTCTGATCCCTTTTGCTGACCTCATCGCTGTCATCCATGAGCATTTCAGGAAGCAGTGTGGCTGATGCTGACAAGGAGCGATGGGCTGAGCAACCTGGAAGTGCTGCTGCCTGCTAGCCGTGTGGTGCAGGCAGGCTCTCAGGATTCAGGACAGGGAGTGTTGGGTGTGGAGGGGCCATAATCACTCCCCTTTCCCACAGAAAGCTGGTGGCTGAAGTCCCCCTGTTGTGGAATGGAAGAGCTGTTGATGAAGGCCACTTTCCCAGAGGTGTGGGTTCTTCTCAGGTGTCCTGGCACAAAGCCATGGGTGCTCTGGTAAAGCTTGGCCATGGCTGTTTTGTGGGGATCCACACCAGCAAGAGACAAACAGATGGGATGGGCTTGCAGATGCAGGTGCTGCTACTTGTGGGTGGTGAAAACCATCTACTGAGTTCCAAGATTTGTACAGCCCAGCTTTTGAATTGTTACAGTCTATTTAGGAGTAAAAATCCAAGAGGCATTGCCCTTCGTGTCACTGAGGCCACTTGTCAGAAAACTCTTAATTGCATGCTTTAACTCCTGTCTTGTGCTGGGCTGGCAGGCACCTGAACAGCAAGCACATCTGCTGCACGGGTTTGTGCCCCAAAGAAACCAAACCACTGATGTAAAACAACTTCATGCAGGAATTGTTCTTATGACCAGAGTTTCAAGATGTGACAAACCCAAGCAAACACAAGCATCATTGAGCACAGGCCAAAGAGGTACTGCTAAGGGGAGAGAACAAAACCTGAAGCAGACCTTCATGCTACCCAAGGCTTTGGTTCTGCATCTCGCTGGCCCACAGGGACAACGTCTTAAAACTCACCCAGCCAATGACCTTAAAACCAGATTGCAGTAACCTGCTCTTTCCCAAGTCACCTGTATCGGGATTTTAAGCAGCCCAGAGGAAGTGCAAGTTGTGTGGTGTTACTGACATGAACTCACACGGCTGTTTGCTCCCCGGGTGATGCTCAGGCTCTCGTGGGATACCTGCTTATACCTTTGGGGAAACAGGATCCCACCAAGTGAGAGTCTGCCGGGTGCTTCCCTCGTTCACCCTTTCATGCACTACGCTGTAGCCAGGCATGGTGGTGAAGCCTGCACGGACAAAGGATGCTGGAGGCTGTCAGTATAGACCTGGGTCGTTTATTTTCATTACTGAGAAGGGTGAAGTTCCCTATCTTGCCCTCTTCTCTGGTCCCCCGGGTAACTGTTGCTTGGTGGTCTGTTGGGGTCACTTAACTTGGTTTTAGCTGCATGATCTGGATAGCTCCACGACACAAAATCAAACCAAACCTTTCCATGCAGTTTGTGTTCTTTAGAGCATGTGGTCTGAACAAAACTCACACAATGCTGACACACTGTGAGCAAAGCGTGTTCTTCTGTAACCGAAGTAGGGGTAGGGTGGGTTGATACGGCCACGTGGGGACAGGGGAAAGTCCCCTGTCGGGGGAAAGGAGAGCGGTGAGGAACCCTGAGTGAGGGCACTGGCCGAGGATGGGAAAGGGAGTCCTAAACCACACAGGAGTTCTCTGCAAGGCTGAATTTCAGGGAAAGGTAGGAAGGGGTCTAAAGGATAATTACCTTATGTGTTTTTACTTCACTTGTAATGCATGGCTTCCCATCATTGTGCCCATTTCTACTTGTCCCTTGGCGTTAAGCTCTGAGTAAAAAGAACTTTCCTGTGGCTTGTTTAAAAACCTCTGTAGTGCCAAGGGCTGGGGTGGAGCTGGCAAATGGAGGTGCGGTGCTGGAGAGGGGCAAGGAGCCAAGGGCTGGACAGGGTGCGCTGGTGGTGCACAGGGGCAGCTGGGTGGCGCGGTCATGGTCTGGGCAGCAGCTGTGTCACCGCAGGGCTAGCTGGGCATGAGGCTGCTTCTTAGCGATGTCCTGTCTCCATTTCCACCCTTCGGGCTGCTCTGCTACCCTGCCCTGCCTCGGGGCTTTCCCGGCACAGCCCGCAGAGGTAGTGCTACCCAGAGGAGTGTCCTTACCAGCCTCTTGGCCCAAACCAAAGGTTTGGTCACAAGGTGCCCCAGAATAGAACAGCTGAGACCTGAGCCGTACCCAGCCTGGGCCAAGCAGCGATGAGGTGTCCCCTCGCCCTGTGCGGTGCCCCAGGGCAGGCAGCCTGTCAGCTGGAGTACGGGGCGCTGGAGGGGCTGTACCCACAGGCTCAGAGCCTGGTTGCGGAGGTAGCAGCAGGTCCTGCCCTGGTTTCTGCAGGGGGTCTGGGGACTGTGTCATGGGCAGCATTGCAGGCAGAGGGGACAAGAGTCAGGAGCCCATCTGCACGCAGAAGGTGGATGGCCCTGCCCAGGTCTACTGGCAGGCGCTGCTGACTGGGGATCAGGGCATCGTGGCCAAGATCCTCGGTGACCCTCAGAACAACCTGAGCCCCAATGCTGTGTTTGACACCAGCGACCTGGAAGAATGGAAGAACTACCGCTTCAACTTCCGCTGGCTGAGTACGCAGGGGGCAGTGGGGGCTGCCGAGCAGGGGCTCACAGCCTCTTGCTTGCGCTGCAGGGCATCGTTATTGCTGGGACCGTGTGTTGGGGTGCTGTTTGGGTTACGGAGGAGTGGGGGGCGGAGTGAGAGCACTGCAATGTGGGTGGGTCATGCTGTGCTGCTTGTGGGAGAGCGTGCGTGTGTCTGGGAGTGCAATGTGTGTTCAGGGTCCCTTCTAGCAGGGGGCTGTGCAAGTGCTTGGAAACTGCCTGGGTTCCCCCTCAGGGCAGAGGGGGTTTAAGCTCCAGGTTGTGCTCCTTCTGTGACCAGCCCTGTACCCTGGCTCTGCCTGCCTGTGCTGGGCTGCTGGTCCTCTCTTTGGGTTGTGCTAGGCAAGAAGTGGTCACAGCCCTGCGTTAGGTCCTCAAGATGGTTCAGTTTGAACCTGGCCCTGTGGAACACGGTTGACTGCGTGCTGCTTCTGTGAGAAAGAGGTGAGAGGGATGTAGTGCTGAGCACGCCATGCAGCCTGGGACGTGGTCCTCCAGCCCAGCCTGGAAGGGCAGGAGCAGCCTTCAAGGAGCCCTGTTCCTGTTAGAGCTGCAGGCTGTTTGCCAGCAGAGTGCAGCTGCTCAGCGATGGTTCCAGCTGGGTTAGCACCTTTGAGAGGTGGCAGGTTTCAGCCCCTCGCTCCCTCCTAGGCCCTGGATGTCCATCACTGCTGAAGCTTGCTTGTCTCAGGGCTTGTCTGAATCTCCCATGTGCATGGCAGCCTGCTCTAGCACCTCCAGCACTACTGTGGTGCTTCATGCATGGTGCTCTCCCCAGCCGCCTCTCTGCTGTCAGCCTTGCCCATGCTCCTTAGGCCCTTCACCCGCCGTACTCCTGTCCACAGAAACCCTGTGCTCCACGACTGAGCTGCAGGTGAACAGCACATTTTCTGGGAACAGCCTCTGCCCCAAGGCTCCTGCTCCTTCAAGCTCCCTGTCCGCAGGGCTGTGGAGTCTGAGCCATCCCCAGACCCCAAAGGCAGAGACCTTGCGGAGCAGGGGCTGGCAGGGAAGAGGCCGTCCCCGGGGAGGAAACCAGCGTCTCTCAAGAGGGGATGTGCATCGGGTACCCCAGGGAAGGGCAGGGCTGGGCCCCGGGCTTTTGTGTGT